ACTGCACCGGGAGGCTGCAATGGGAAAACAGCTCAGCCAGAACCAATACAGAGAGCTGTTACTAATTAACCACATGACTACCAGCTAAAAAGAATTAATGCTTTCCCCATTAAGTATCCCATAAGTCACAAGGCTTCAGTTGTTCTTCAGATCTGGTAAGATCACACTTTGAACACCTCCCCCCCAAAGCTGTCAACATCATAGGCTTCACGCTCTTCTCCCTGACAGAAAAAGCAGTCTTCTAAATGGGGAGATATTAATGCTCAGTCTCTAAGACTTTGATTATTTCCTTAATAAAGGCTCGTTGTTCATTTGGCACTAACAGGAAGCTAATGTTCTACTGCTGGGTCAAATACTTTATCCCTTGATAAAGTCTTGAGCTGCACTAATTTGAATTCCAGGGTAGAAGCCATACAGGCCAATACACTACATAACATTTGAGATTAGCAGAAGCTGCCTGAATGTTTACTTACCATAATTTGTAATAAGGATACAAACTGTCCTAGTTAGGAACAGTCTCATCACCAGAAGTTAAGGAAAAAGGTTTGTGATTATGAAATTGCCAAACTGAGCTTTGAGTTAGTATGCACCTGAATACTGAGAGACTTGTTTTAACCTAAAATTTCTGCGTAAAAAACAGGGAGCAAATTTTCAAGAAAATAAAGTAGAAAGTATCTTTTAAATCTCAGGCAATACAAAGCAACATATACTAAAATGAACAGTTGTTTTACCTTCAGTTCTTAAACTTAAATGTGGAGATTTGTAATTCCTCAAATACATTACTTTTTGAAAAGCAGAAATAATCACTTTCAAAAAAAAGATTAAAAATACTGTTATTGAGAATAATGGGCTATGCAAAAGTTAGGAAAAGCTTCCTTCTGGTCTTCTAATACATATATTTTTTAAACTATATACTACATAATCAGTTTTAAAGTTTCTCCTGCCTGGTAAACATGTTACAGTATTTTAGCATACAAGTCTACCTGATGACATTTTTAAAAGGAAAATCACAGAGATACTTTAAAAAAACAAAAGTTCTTAAAAACTCCTGCAACACAGAGAATTGGGCAGGTACATTTTTTGCCTTTGCAAAGGACCTTTGCCTTTTTGTCTTTCTAACCCAACATCTGATTCAGTATAAAGCCAGAGCACTTGTGGGTTTTGCCATAAAGTAATTTTTCATCTTAGTTAACCAACTTTGACTCTCAATTTGCTAATCTGGTGGAAAACTGCATGTGTATACTTATAACTCACACTTCATTCTAGCCGAAATTCACTTCATCTGTATGTAGCTAACTCAAGCTTTGCTTTGCATATAGCCTTTATACGCAAGTAGAAAATTACAAGTATTGTCCTAGTTAAGTATCAGTATAAGGTTTTAAGTAAGTTTTAAAATTCCTCTCAGGTTTTCTCCAGCTTTCATTAGACTATTCCCATTTGGAATATTATCTTTACTTCAGAAATAGTCTACGCTAATATATAGAACCAGGCCCAGCTTGTCTGCTTGATATTTGGTTTGGTTTTTTGTTTGTGTCTTTATTTGCTTTCTAAATATACAGTTATTGGATCCAAGATATTTTACAACCACTTCGCTTGATAATTATCAAATCTGAATGACTTAGTGACAAGCTGGAAGTCCCAAAGTCACAGAGATTGATAAGGTAAGGCTGGCTGATGCATTCAAAGTATGAGATCAGGTCTCAGATTGCCTTGGAGATACCATGATCAGTATACAAGGGAAATAAAGCTCACTGCAGCTGTGATAGCTCCTTCTTGTGGAAATTTGCCTTTGCACTGAGAAGCAGCAACTCCTCTCCTTTACTAAGAAAGGAGCAACTCTCTTGGAAGAAAGGAACTGGATGAAGTCATCTTTTGAGTAGCTTGTACATGTGTTTTTTCCCCAGAAACCACTAATGAATGCTTGCTTGAAGCTTTTATTGATAAGCATCCAATATAATACTAAAAATAATCATATTAGCTAGCTGCCTTGCTTGGTTTTGAGCTCAAAGAGGTGATCTTTATAGTTTTTCATTGTTTTTGCTAAGTCCTTGGGTGGAAAAATACTTTTTCCTGGTCCTGTAGGTCAATCTACATCATCATCCCTTAAAGCCCACATGAACATGAATATATTTTTGAAACTGTAACTTCTGTAAAGATTTGTGTGGATGAATTTTACCATCTTATCCAGAGGGATCTCCAAAAAGCACATGTATCTTAATTTTTTTCACCTTCATCCCACAAAACTAGGTACATGGGCACTTTCAGGTCTATCTTTAGGCATCTAAGTACATCTAAAAATCTGCCCTGTTTCTCCTCTGGGAAGATAGTAGCTTGTTTTCAAGGCTCACTTGCAAGAAAAAAAATGATCACTACAGAATTATTGACTCCATGGCAAGGAGAAGTGTTACACAAGCTGGAAGATCCCTTTCTGGGAGACTAAATACAGCAACATGTGCAGTCTGGAATGCAGCCGGTGACCCACCTTCCCAACCCAGCATAGGCAACATTCCCTTCCAGCACTGTATTTTTTCTACAAAGAAGATACTCAGAAAAATTTATGTTTTAATTAATAGCCATTCACTTGACAAGCTTTTAAGCTAAACATTCTTTGTCTTGTTCTATTTTCTTAACAAAACATTTTGAAATAATACTACTTCAACAGGTGTGTTCTTCTTCTCCTGTCATTTGCATGCATATGTATTTCTAAAATATTTCTACCTTTGAACACCTTGCAGATAAAGCTCCCATTACAGCAAATGCAAAACTATACACTGAGAGCAAGTGTCCTAGCACATGTGCTCTGCTAGTTTATTGCACACAATTCAACACATATTTTCAATGCCTTAAGTAAGAATTGTCATACTGCTCTCCAGCTATAATATAGGTTATGTTGATTAGCTGCTGCAATGCTACCAGGTATATAAATGATACACAAAATAGTTCTATGAATCCTACCTGGGGACAGTAAGAGTTGTTAAACTGTAGTTTAAACCCATATCTAATATTTCTGGGGGCCAAGACCAATTCATCGATACAGGAATATCCTTGTATTGATGGCGCAAACATTAGCCTCACCCTCGGACTTTAAGCATACTCCTTAAGGGTTTTCTTTTGAGTTTGTCAATTCTATTGGATAAACATCTTTACTCATTTTGAAGAGTATATAAGAATTTAAGATATAATTTGAGGAAGATTTGTCACCACTGCTACCAAAAGTATTAGTCCCACCCTCCCCTTCTTATACAAGTGACTTATATATGGCTATTTGGTGAAACAGATCAAAGGCCAAAACTGACCCAGGAAAATCTCATAAAACAGTACAAGAGGATGGTGCTCCCTAGATATAAGCAAAAATAATTATCTAGTTCTGCAGCAACCTTAGTTTCAAGTTTCTCTCAGATAAAAGCAAATATTTATTTACCCCCACACCAAAACTAGCTTAGGAAGACTAATTAAAATGGTGTCTTCTTAAGAACACAGAAGCAACAAGCAAAAAAACATGATTCCTTTTCTCTTTTATTGATACTGCCAATTTAACTACCTTTACACAGGCCAACTGTTTTTCTACATTAAACACTTTTTTTGTTAATTTGGAAGTAACATTTTGCCCTCTATACCTCCTAAGGTTATCCAATTAACACACCGTTACACTTTTAGTAAGGTACCATGTTTTCTCTTTAACAATTTTTTTCCAGATACGTGTAAAGGTTACTTGGCAAGAATACACGCATATGATGTTAAATGGAGACCAATCCACCACTAAAAGGTAACGCACATAAAACATTATACAGTACTCAGACAGCATTTCAAATAAATACTCACATAAAAATGTAGTAAATTTTAAATGCAACAATATTTCTTATGAATCAATACTGTAACAGAAGATGGAAATAGAATTCCCCACATCTAGGAATAATGTTTTGTTGGTTTGGGTTTTTTTTTTTTTTTTTTTTTTTTCCAGCAAACAGAAATCTTTTCCCCGCTGTCAATATTATTTCAATTTGTGCTCTTTTTTAATAGGAAGGCTCCACCCCCAACAAGTACCAATTTTAATCATTCACATGAGCCTCAACAAACAGTAGAGAGATAGGTAAAGCTTGTTGATGCACGTCTCCATTTCTGTTTCCTGAAATTACAATGATTAGATATAACATGCAAGAGAAGATATCAATGTTTTGTTGTTCACGTTTGCAAACAATACTATGGTTAACTGCATCCACCACCATACAAAGCTAACATAACATCAATATTCCTGATATGTTTTCTGTACTGTTACCACAAATGTGTTACTGTATCTTGCTTATTTGTTCAACTTGAGTCCATTTGGTTCCCAAAGTGTATTTGGGTTTAAGTTTGTGTTTATTTTTCTCTATACCCCTGAATTTGCAAGGATTTGCATGACGAAATATTATTGACTAACAGAATTTTTTACAATTCCTTGAATATATAATCTCTATAGTAAGACTACACATTAAAAATGTGCGAAAGGGGAGTTCACTTTGCACTTATTGCTCCATGTCTTTAATAAATTCCAAAACAGCCACTCCATTTCTTCTATGTTACAGGACTTAGACTAAGCTATTCTAAGAGTCTCCCTTAAAATTATTAAAGGCACTACTGGCAATAATTAATGACAGAAAGGCGCTGATATATAACACCCTATCATTGACAACTTTAGAATTTTTCTTTCTAAATGTACCATAATTTGGCACAATAAAATGAAAAAGTAACAAAACAATTCCAATTTGGAATTTAACCGGTATAGTTGTATAAAATTCTGTTAATCAATAATACTTCAACTTCCTAAAACCCAGGAATTCTGGAATTTATAGGTAATACTACTGAATATTTTTCAAGTGCCTATTACTGTTTTAACCAGAGCAAAGTCAAGTTTTCTTCTTGTTACATTGAACTATTCCTAAGAATAATAATACAATATGAAAAAAAATCCCAGAATCTGATTACCCTGGATTTCTTCATGAACATGGCAGTTAAAAAAAAAAAAAAATCAGTAATTTAAACATAAAAAGCTTAACATTTTATAATAATAAAAAAGATTCTGAAGCACAGCACACAGTTTAGCAGAGGTCCTATTTCTTGTTGAAATTCTTTTCTAATCACAATCTAGAGCCCTCCCAAAATCTCCACCACATGCTGATGTAGAATTCAAGAATCACAACCCAAACTGGAGACTGTGAGCACAAACAACTGCATTTATATAAACTCTTTTACATAAGGAATTAAAGAAGCTAAAGAAAAATATCAAAAGTGCACAGGTTTAACAATCAGATAAAAAAATGAGCATCAGCAATGAGATAAGAAATTCCCCCATCTGAACTTTTTTAGTAGATCATAAACTAATACGGTGATCATTACATTTGAAGTAGGTTTCTTCAGCACTTGTAAGTTTTCTTACTGCAGCAGCACTTACAGGTAAAGCTTGTTTGTTTTATAGCTTCAGACATAAAGGAAAGTCTCAGGTAGTATATAGGAAAAGGTGTTTTCAAAAGTTAGGATCGGGTCAGTGGTTTCCATTCTTTTTGCAATGGTCTACCACTTTAAACAATAACAAAAGAGGCTAAGAAATGCTGTTGCACTGTTGCCTTCTCCAGGGACTACTCTACAGCTGAAAAATGGAAAAATAAAATAGCATTAGAAAAAAAAGGGAAAAAAAATCAGTGTTTATTTCTCAATTAAAGAACTGAAAACTTAAAACAATGTGCTGCAAAAGCAGGTTAGTTGGTTGAGGATGTCTGTTAGCTTGCTGGAGTAGAAGCAGTCACTTTACCGCACAGGTGCTTTCCAAGCCGATGAAACAATGCTTGATGGGTTTAGCCTGAGAAATCAATAGCTTTGCAGAAAGAAGGTTTCTTACAAGTACTGAATAAAGCTTTGCTGTTCAAGCAAAAGTTAACAGCAGTGAATGTGCAAGAAACATTTTTCAGTGAAGCTTTAAGTTCTCCAGAAACATGCAGGTCAGTATATCATGCAGGCCAATGCTGAGAACATAATTCCAAAGAGCCTGGTTGCAGAGGTAGGTGATGACTTTTCCATGCTTTATCCCAACTCATTGAAAGTGATATGAAAGACTTACAGCAAATACAAGTTTCAAGAAATTGTTAATCAAGAATTACAAGACTCAGTCTTAAATATTATCTAAAAATACAAACAGCAGGATCAAGTCACCTTACCTCCATTCCTGATTTCTTTTTGTAACAGGTATTACAAGAAGTTAAACCATAACCTTGACAAGCTCAAATAGCAGCCAGGTTGGCTTTTTCATTTTTTAAAGATTCAGAGACATGAATGAAGATGGAAATGACTACTTTAACAAAACTGTTCATAACTTGGAACTGAAAGTGTAAGTAAAAACTATAGTAATAGTCACTGTCTGGTAACATTGAAATCTTTACAGAAAGTTCCTGTTAATTTGGAAAAAATAAAAAAATCTAAGAATGCATTCAAATAATTTCTCCAATTTACCTTTTTGCCTTTAGTATTTTGTAAAAATACTGCCATTAGAGACATGGAAGCAGTGAAAACTGTATTAAAGCTCCCTACCATAATGGAAGAAAATTTTAACTGTTTCTGTGGGAGCAGAGAAAGTTAGCACTCAAATGCCTGCTTTTACAAAGTATTTTAAGTTATACTTGATGCAGGAATGAGAAGAGTAAAGGCCTTTAGGAGGATTGTGCAGCAAAGAAGAGAAAAGCAGGATTGAAAATTGTTAAAAGATGTTTCACTTCTAAAATATCCAACCTGCTATTTAGCAATATTAAAGCTCAGATTCAGGAGAATTCTGTGTTTTCCATTTTTTTAAAGAATCATTGGATGAATTTAGAAGTCTTCCCCTCCCAGTATCTGGGAAGCCAAAATCCCATGTGGCTTTCCCTCACTAGGAAAACAAGCTGTGCTCCTTATTACCTTATATTAGTACTGTGATATCTCCTGACTAATTATAGGCAGAGCGGAAATGCACAGGAAGCAAGCTGCTGGTCATCTATAAGAAATGGTAGCGCGATGAGGCAGCACCACACCAGGAATATTAGGATGGCTTTATAAAACATCACTGTCAAGCAAAAACTGTGCAGTCTTGCATTGCTTTTAGTAATACTATAGGCGTACAAAATTATTTGAAAGAGTACAAAGTGAACAGGGCTTTACATTAAAATAAAGTTTTAGGCTAGGCACTTTAAAACTCTGGTTTAAAGAAAAAAGCGTGCCTTGGTGAGCTTCACGAATTTTGCACAATTTTCTAAAAAAGCAACTTTTTCCATCTTTTTCTCTTACATAGGCACCACTTACGAAGTACACTTTTATATTATCAAACGTTGTAATTAAGTGGCTAAAAAGGCCCCTCTAAAAGTTCAATAGCAGACAAAGGTTTATTTGTTTTTAAAGGTTAATATGTATACTAAGCTACTTCATAAATAATTATTAGCAGGAGGATCTGTTTCAATTTCCTGTGCCTATAATGTAGAGCCCTGTGAAATGTGCTTGCATAAGGAATGCAGTTATCTTTTGTGTATATATAAAAAAAAAAGATCAGAGCTCTGAAATACTATCCTATTTAGATTGATACTAAAAGCTGAGAAAAAAACTCTTTTGTGACTGACAATACTAGACCATAGTCATATTAATTCTACACATATATGTTGTGTGGCTACAGTAATATATAAAACAGATTCTTTCCAAAGTGTTATGCTTGCAAGGAGCAACATGAGACCACAGAGATCCTTTCACAACATGACACTTTTCCACAACATCAACTTCTTAAAGTGGAACTGTCTACCACATAGGATCCCAATTCTTAACATTTTGTTTTATGTCATTGGGTAAATATTGCATATTTTTAATATAAATGTGCAAGTTTCTTCTGGATAACTCTCTCTTTTAAGAGAGGGAAGCAGAGTCTAAATAATGTACCCTACAGGGGTTTTTTTCCTAGCTTTTATAGCCTATAAAAGCTTCAGGACTTGGGTCAGTGGTGACATGATATCAAGTTCTTAATACCTACCACAATAGGAAAATTAAGTTAGGTTCCAATTTCAAAATGCTCTGCATTTTCAAGACATACCTCTAGTTTTAACATCTGCTTTTCACCACTTCTTAAGCCACAATAACAAGGAAGGTTTTATTTGTTTCTGCTTGTGAAAGCATTTATTGAAGTATGCTGCAACCCTGGAGAAAGGATCACGTTTGTGCTATACAAACTACAATTAGTAGCACCAGACATACTATATCAGGTGTACTCTTTTAACACTTACCATAACCAGCAAACCCCATACATATTAAATGTGGAAAAAGCTAATTCCTTTCCACTGTTAACTTGTTAATAGCATCCCCATACTTATGAATTAGTTACAGTTAAGACCACCATAATACAATTTGTATTACCTGGTTCAACAACATACTAGTACAAGTCAACTCACTGCAACATTAGATAGTGGGGATTTATGCTGACGGTTACAGCATAAAATAATATGCATAATAGTATTTTTCTACACACCTGTCCTAGTCACAATAGATTTTATATTTCTCACTACAAAAAACCTGGTTGTTAAGGACAGATCCTTCAGACCTGTCTCCACAAGACCGAATATGACTTACACTAGGGTTACCGCTCTTGGCTTTGGAAGCAGATTTTGTGCGCACCCTTTTGGACTGCTCATGATCTAGCTCCAAATGTTCCAGGCGCTGGGTCAATGCCAGTTTCTGCTGGATAGCCATCCGAAGCAATGAGTTCAGAGTCTTCTTCTCATCCTCAGCTGCTGCAAGCTGCCTCTGCATTTCATCCAGCTGTGTGACATATTCGTCACATCTGCAATGAAAGATATCAATCTTTAGCAATCCTGTTTCCATCTATAAAACATTAATTGTTTGTGCCTGGTCGATACTAGCAGAGTGATAGCTTTGCAGTTGCTTGCATACACACTCTTGTAAATGGAACTTTGACCAAACCTGTAGAAAATTGTGATTACTTTTCACTGGTGTTCTTACAATCCCACGCTCAGCACTTGAAATTCATGCCTTTCAAGATGTAGTATAATGAACATCACCCTTAGATAATGAAAGTATGGAGCCCAGTATAAAAACATTCATGTCTAAAGATTAAGTTCCATAGTGAGTAGACACGATGCAGTCAAATTACTTTTGTCTCTACACAGAGACCACGAAGGTTCTAAGCTATAGCCTGGAAAGGGAGTCCGAGTGTAACAGGAGGGCTATAAAATGACCATTACCAAAAAGCTCAAAAATACCATTTGATGAGCACAGAAAATTTGTAGTTTGCTACTTTACACATGGAGTCCAAGTAACAAATTTCCAGAGGTGTCAGAACAGCATGGTTAAAAACAAGCACCTCTCATAATTCTACTTTAACCTGCTCTGATTCCTGATGTAAAATTTCTACAAATAGTAGTTTAATACTGTTTTCTCTAGAGCAAGTGGCCTTTATATAATTGTTTTAACATCTATTTTGATGGTGAAAACAATTAAACAAAAGAACTGAGTGTTACTGGAAATCCTGTGGGGGAAGCTGTATGAATGCCTGCAAACTGTTTCATCAACAGTCATTTTCACTGAGCTTGGAAACTACTTAACTTGCACAGTGCATCATGAACAATTTTAGTAAAATCAATGACTTTACATGTAGATGCATATTTACTGCACATAGAAGACCAATTATGTGTATGGGTATAAAAATAAATTTTCATAGGTACCAGCTGGAATTTACAGTGGCCACATATGTAAAATACAACTTCATGAAAGCAAAATAATCAGCAGAGATGTTCCTTTTAACATCAAAATGGAAAAGACCCTGATTTTAAGGGACATTTATCATCATTAAGTAACATAAAGGAGACTGGGAAGAAAGTCCACCACAAAGCTACATTCGTGCAGATTCATCAGCAGTGCTTATACTATTAAGTTCTGAATTCTGCTCTCCCTGACTTCAAATAGCAGGATTAGTCCTATATTCCTATTTGCTTGGGAAGAGAAAAATTGAAAGGAAAACAGAATTTTCAAAAATATGTATGGAGATTAAGCAATGACCCAGAAATACTCACACAAAACCTGCATGAGCTGCAACTGCAATGTAGCGTATCATACCAGAAGGTTCTGAGTTTAGGGCCACTAAGTGAGTGGGAATCTATCCTCTTCAAATCTCTGTGCATCCTACTCTTGAGCTTGTCACAGTCTCTCGTACTATGGAGCACAGTGGAAAGTCAGTGCGAGGGGTTTTTATCTTTTTAAAAAACTAAACCAGGAACCTCTAGCTTACCAGAAGCCTAGCACTTGCCCTTTTCTCCTCATTGCTAGGTGGACCTTAAAAAGCAAAACCAGTCCACACACTTCAGTGAGTGGAAGCAGACTAAGGGCCAGAACCAAGGGCATAATGGTCCCTCCCCTCTTACAGAAGGTGGGACCAGCCCCACAATGAGGGCATGGCTACAGAAATTAATAGCTCACAGCATCTCTACTAACCCTGTGCCCTGTTGCTTTAGATTGTCAGAGATGTATTTTGCTCACCTGGGGGAGGGAGCAAGGCACAGACTAAAGATTACTGGGAAGCCTGAGGGCTGTGGAGTTTTCCTTCCAGTTTTCAAACACAGTCATGAAATTTGAGGTGAAAGCACAAGTCTGGTTATATCACAAGTTACCTTTCTGCCTTCTTCTCTACCCACACCTCAAAACTGATTCTTTCAAAGCTCCACTACTGCAAACCAGGGTAATGTCCAGAAAGTGTTACTGATTCCCTGAGGAAGGTAAAATGAGTACTTCAGCAAAATATGATATGGCACTGGAATCACATGTCCCCATTACCCTTGTTTCCTTCTCAGCATTGTCCTTCCCAAGAGATCTGGGCAAGGTGAAAGTATGGGGAGGATTTTTTCACTCCTTTCTTGTAAATCAAGTTGTATCCACTTTTTTTTTTTTTTTTTTTTGTACAGAAGGGGAAGTTAATTTAGCTGCAAAATTTTCAGCTCAGTGAAGCAGTGTAAAGATTACTGCAGCCTGTCTATTCATTTGGCTTGCACCAGAGAGGTGCTAATCAAAGCTAGCCAAGGTAAAAGTGGCAGATTTCTCTACCTTCCTCCCTCCCTCCCCACTTCAGAAAAAAAAAAAAAAAAAGAGAGATGATGAAAAGAAAACAAAACCAGTGCAGTAGAGTAGGGACTTCCCACAGTCTTGCTAATGTCCCTTAATCCTCTTCTTGAAATGTTTTTTGTATTACTCAAATGCCTCTTGATCAAACAGTCAGTTGTGCCAAACCTGATGGTTTAGCTGACTAGCACCACAGACAAATGCTTCTCAGAGTCTAGAAGGCAGTGAAGTTGCTGGAATGCAAGCCAAGCTATAATTAAAGCCATGATTTTGACACCAAAGGATTATTGTAGCAAGTCATTATCTCATCGAACTTTCTGTTAGCATGAAAGTTTAAAACATCAAATGACTGTCCTTAGAAATTACAAGGCATTCACTGTTTCAAATATGTAAGTTGTTTTGGTTTTGTGTTTTATGGGGAGGGGAAAAAAAAAAAAAACAACTATGCATGGAGTTTCTTCTTCCTTTCCAACAAAAAGGAAGTGTTATCAGTAGCACACGTGCCGCTGCAGTTTTTACTATACCTGAAAAACTGTTCCTTGTATATAGGAGAGGACTGGGGAGATGCAAGAGTATTAACTACTATGACTACACAGAGTCATGTATCCTGAACCTGTTTTCCTGATCTTAAACGGAATTATACAGCCTCAAAATCAAACCTCCTCGTGCAAGCATAGCTGTCCACAACCAGATGAACACAGCACTACACAAAATTCATCACTTGTTCACTTGAATAGAACAAGCGAGGGTTGAAGAATTTCCTAGAAGTTGATGCAGATGTTGTGTGCACAGGTGGAGTGGGAACTGCCCTACTTCCTTCCTGCTATTCACCGATTCCCAATTCAATTTTCTCAACATAAAAATAAGATGCCTCCCTAAGCATATAAGACAAAGCCTCTAGCAGTACTTTAGCTTAATGCAGAGCTCTAGTCATTTTAGCCATGGCAGAGTATTTTTAGGTATATGTATCTATATTTTCACTGCTTTGTGGAAATAACAATAAAAGATCCTTCCCTTTTACAATTTCATTTGCCATGTGCTGAGCTCCGCCCCAGCTGTATATTCAAACCAAAAATAAATAGGAGGTCAGAACAGAGAATATCTTTATTTTAAAAACACCTTTGAAAGAAAGTAATTGAGTTTTCATGCTTGAAAGAATATGAAATTAGCATAAGCCTGTTGCACATTTACACATTCATTGTTTTCAAGTGGGTAGTGAGCAGAATGCTTTGATGTTGCCTATTTTCTTATGACTGGTAATTAACAACAACAAAAAAGGAGCTTAAAGAAACATCAACTAGATTTTTAAAAACAACACTAGCTAAAACAAAATTCTACATAGAGGAAATAAATATCCTAAATGGTAAATATAATGATGATAAATAAAAACTAGGTTCTCTAAAACAATATATGAAGCCAAATTATGAAAAATATAACAATTGGTTGTGTCATTTTTAAAAGCTGCACACCACTACTTCCCACAAATGCCAGTTCTGCCTTATTTCTACATACCACTTTATTTAAGCTTTAGCATGTACTAAGCAACGTTTATAGCTAAAGTCACTACTGAATCTGTTCTAGAAAAAAAAAGTGATGTAACCAAAGGGACCTGGTTATAATTATATTCTTCCCCCTCCCCTGCAGTCCATACGACCATATGATGACTTTCAAGAAAGCAAGACAGATATGACTGAAGGAGGCTTTAAGAGAAGTATCAACTCCTTTAACTTGTATCTTGAGAAATTAAATTGTCAACCTGCCAATTGTTACATAAGAAATTAAAACTCTGAGGATGCAAAATCACGATTTTTCAGCTTTCTTAAAAACTGGGAAACTATAGCTGAGAAGCAGATAAAATGACATGTACATAAGCATTGACTGCGTTCCACTATCAGGGATATTAACCACCTGCTATTTCAAACAGTATTTGTATTAGAAGTTAATATTAAGGGCTGGAGGATCTAATCCTGAACTCTTACCAATACCACAGAAGTGGTGCACATGCTCTGTTTTTTACAGCCTATGAGCACTGAGCTTCCTACTAGTTGCAAAATGAATGCAAGGCTTGCCTATCTAAACCACTATGTATGCCAATAACTGCTGCTGCAGTAGTCTCCTATGTGAGGTATTTTAAAGTAACTCACTTTCTAGTTTGATTAAAAAAAAAAAAAGGCAGACAAGCTACACAACAAGAGTTTTAAGTATTTCTGTGCCACCACTATTATATCACAGGAACACCTCATGTGTTTCACTCTCCTTAACAGCAGTAGGCATTCACACAAAGCACCACAGCATACAGGAATTTGTTATGTGGACACAGCCACTTTGAAAAGTATCTGAGAGACGAGTGCAAAGTCATTGTTGCAACCCACATCCAATGTCTGCCTACAAGGGGCACCTCCACCAAGGCAGAGTCTCAATATATCCAGTGTTACTACTAGCAGACATTTTAACTGCCAGAGTCTAGAGCAGGCAGGCCCATTGGTTTTATAAACGGGACTGCATGCAAGACATCACTCGTTTTTTTGTAGCCTGTCCATAAAGTAGTTGAATACCTTTGTCTTGCCTGTGTGTCTCCTTGTTTTCACATGGGTGCTGGTGGCCTAAACATTTTCCTCTCCAGCCATCATTCATCACCACTAGATCTAGCACCACTAATAGGAAGCAAATGCTGTAACTACCATCCTGGAATCTCCTTCTGGACATTAACAA